AATAATATAAATTATATTAAATCGCTAATTAAATATGATTGCCTTGATAATGCTATGAAGACTTTCTCGGACAATGAAAAATTTTGAAATATGATAGTGACGATTTTAATTGTGATTGTTTGACTTGCAAACAGTCCTATAGATCCTTTTCAGAACATCGAGTAAATTTGAAATTCAATCAAGAATAATCTAAAATAACTGTGAAATCAACAAGAACACTGAAGATAGCTTGGCTATTTAGGAAACTTTACATCTCTTGGCCCTCCGACAAAGTGATCTGATTTGATTGGTGCGAAAATACTAACGTAGATCTAGACATGTATTTCTTCGTCTTGGGATTCTTTTAAGAAATCCGTTTTTCATTCCTGCCAAAAACTACTTCTTAAGTTAAACAAGAAGAGAAAGACAAATCTTTAAATAGAGATCAAATTTTGTTTCTGTAAGTTCAGGCGAAAGTCATTTTCCTAGCTTCAGACATTGACCGGCGTCTGTGAGCGTATCACGAGAAACACCTTCCCTTTTGCACTGGGCAAAAAATGGGAGTGGGTAGGATCAATCCCTGATGAAGCAGGCGTCCCAAAAGTGAAAATGCTAAGAAAACTGTATAACTTCCTTAGATTAGATGTATGTTTGCGCGCGCGGCGCCATGTTAATTTTGACTTTGCGAAGAATAAGTAAATTATAGATAAATAACCTCAGTAACATACAAATATTGCTGTTAGATTTACCATATAGGAATACAAGATACGCTATTGTAATTTAGATTAAAATTCAAATGAATTCTAATTTGCATATAGATATGTAAATTGAAATATAATATTACTGCGTGTGTGAGATTTATATACGAAAAAATTGTAATGAAATCATCTGGGTTAATTTTTTAAAAAATCTAATTGTTAAGAGTCAGTCTACATTTCGGCCGAAACGTTGTGATAGATATGGCGAAAAAGATGAGGACAATAGTCCGAATAATGTAAATAATAATCCAATTGTTAAGTTAAATATAGGATACTTAAGGAATCCTGTTAAAGTTTAATTAGATTACCGTAATTCTCCATGTATAATATGCATTTTTTTCTAAAAAATAAGAAGTAAAATCAGGGGTGCGTATTATTCACAGCTACAAAAAACTTTAAAAAATTGCCGTAAAATAAAATCAGAATTATAATAAAACTAAATTAGAATAATATTCTGTGTTTAAAACCATTTTTTAAAACAACAGTATGAATCGCTGGCTGTAATGAAATTGAAGTACAATTTATAGGGTTTGATTACTAAAAAGAGCTGCGTATTATGCTTGAGTAGAATCATTTCCCCATACCTACAGAACAATTTTAAGAGTTCGTATTATGGATGACGGCGTATTATACATGGGGAATTACGGTAGTTGATTTTGCATGTCAACTCTTGTTGAATTCCTTAATATCGTATATTGTATGGGGCACCCGGTGAGGATCGAACTTAATTCTCAACATTTATGGTAAACCATTCCAGCCTCGCTAACCATAATTCCACATCGAGATAACTTGGTTGATTTTACGACGTATCAACTTCATTGGGTTATGTAATGTCGAATTTTGTATGGGGCACCCAGTGAGGATCGAAATCAATCTTCTTCTATGTGCCATGTTCTTTCAGGAACGCTTGTGATCATGACCCTCCACAATTTCTGTCCTTTGTAGCTTTTAGTAGATTTTGTCTTTTTGCTACCTCTCCTAAATCCTGTTTTGCCAAGCATTTACAAAATCTCGGTAGGTAGGTAATGCACTATTTTCCTGTCTCTCTTGTCTTAAATATGTCCTGTGAGTGTCAAATTTTCCAAGCCTTCTTTCTGTTGTTAAGTATAAGTGTCTTTAATGTTTCTATTTTCTCTAAAATTCCGTCGTTGCTCACATGTTTAGTCTATGGTATTGTCAGTATCCCATCTGAAGCAACATTACTGTTGATTCAACTTTCTTCTTCATCTCTGAGGAGATTGTCCAACCTTCCATATATTGAGGACTGATATTTATATAACAATTCATTACTCTTTTCTTTCTTTACTAATAATAGTCAACAAGACTAACCTCATTGACCCTTGCCTTGCGCCTAGTTTAGCTGGTTGATTTTGCGACATCAACCATTGCTGGGTTACTTAATATCGAATTTTGTATCGGGTACCCAGTGAGGATAGAACACATTACTCAGTATTAATGGTCAACCAGATTAGCCTCGCTAACCATTACCCCACACCGAGTCACCTCTGATAAAATCAAACAACACAGAATGTTCTGTATATACGGGATATATTGCATAGTTCCATGTAGATTAACTTTCCTACTCAGTCATATATATTTTTGTTCTCCTTTTCTAATAATCTATTGGATAAAATGTAACTACTCTTTTTTTTTTCTCTGTTTTCTTTAATGGGACTGACTAACATGCTAAATATATTACAAGAAACAATATTATATAGTTGACTGATTACATATAGATTTAAGAAAACTTCAAAAACACTTCTATGCTTTCTCTGACATGTTGCAAGTCTTGTAGCTGGGGCTTTTGCATCAATCTAATTAAATTCTAATGCTTTTGTAATTGAATTCGATCGGTTTATCAACTCTAGAAGAGTAAAAGTAGTTTCAATGAGCAAAAATAACCCCCCCAAAAACCTCTGCCAAATTGTACATATGATTGTAACTGTAAACTACGTAAACTACAGGTTTAAATTAAAAACCCAAAGTATCTGTCTATATTACTAGAACAGTCTACCCCAGTGAGCGAAATAAAGGGTTAAGTTCGACATTCCAACCACGTGAAGAAGGCCGGAGTGTACAACGGCCGAATCGTTGTAATAAATATGGCGACAAATATGAAGACAATAGTCCGAATAATGTAAATAAAGAACCCAAAGGTCGGAAAATATTAAGACTTTGCTCGTGAACAGCAAAATCTAAGAAACACGACCCTAACCAGCTGTTAGTACTGTGGAGGTTTTTGTCCTTAATATTGAGCAACTGGCAAGTCAAGTTTCCATGATTGGTTCGTCCTTGCTTTGAATATTGCTACCACATTTGGTCTGGTGCTCCTACTATATATTTAGAGATTCTTGATTAAATTCAAAGAAGAATCTACAATGTTATTGGTCCTCAGCTTCATTCACTTTCCCACCGCCATAACATAGCTTCTGCCTTGCCTTTTTAAAAAATACTTTCATGGTAATTGTTCTGATGAACTTTCCGCTATGGTAGCTAGACTTTATGGATTTAAGCACACTACTAGATTGGTGGCAAGATCTCACCATTTTATAGTTGAAATGGCTAGATGTAACCGTAAGTTCTATGCTAACACTTTATTCTATAGCACTTCTCGCTTGTATAGCACTTCTTGCTTCACGTCAAATTTGATTGAAATGCAATGTCAATCGTTATCTTCTGTCTTTTTCATTTTTTTATCTTTTATTATTCCCTCTCCTTAATAATATTTTTCTCATATTCTCTAACACTCAGTAACCCCTTGCGTCTTAGTGTCTTTATTTACTTGCTTGGGATGAAGTGATTAAAAAAAGTAACACTTCTGCATAACGCTGTTAGATAACTACAAGCAGCTTCTGATTTTAATCATAATATTTGTATAAATTACAAAGAAATGATCGTAAAGTAAAGATTGTCTGTAGTTGTTGTTTGGCTCTTAGTGGCACCTGTGGCGTTGCGGGCCGGATTCGGATAAGGACTAACCACAACGCAGAAAGAGTTCATCTCCCAGAGGGCGAAAAGCAAGAGTTGGCCAGGATATGCCTATTCTGTGCTAAAAACGGATGTAAATATCACAATAGCAAGAGCTTTGAATGTGAAGAAAAAAACAAAAACAAAACAAACAGTTCGTGAAGTCAAATTGATCATAAATTTAAAGATTTGGCTGGAAATAAAATGACACCTATTTTTGCATATTTGAATTTTTGAAACTCATAAATTAATTTTTTAATAATGGCTTTTTTATTCAATTTCTCAAAATAAAAGCTTTTTTTCTCTAAAAAACAAAACAAAACATGAAAACACTCAAGACTATGGCAATTTACTACGCGTAGCTCAGGTGTAGCAAAAGGTCGAAAGTAAGGAGAACCCAGTGAGGAAAGAATTCACTACTCAGTCGTAATTGATCTAGCGAGACAAACTTGCTAAGCATTAAATCACGTCGAAGTGCCTAATGGCAATAAAATTAAGAACTAAATGCTATATCTATATTTTAAATAGGGTGTTTGAAAACACTAATGCTGTGACAATGTCTCTGGTACACCAAGAACAATTCCAAAGATTGTTTATAAAAAGGCTGAAGAAGATGTAAATCCGTAGAAGAATTGAAACAGTACAGTGAAAAGATTTGCTGTCACTTGATCTCCAGCGAATGTCACCGGATATCAATAGATATGAACATTAATCGAATGCAAAAATAAGTATATATATTTATGTGCACTCACCTTCGTAGGTTGTGAAGATGTCCCAATTCGGGTCCTTTACAAGCATAACATAGTCATCCACACTAATATCGTGCAAGTGGCACGTCGGTTGTTTGCTCTTCTTGTAACTAACTGATCGGCACTGGGGGTTAGACAAGCATATCAACGTACACTGCTGAGGCGAATCAACCGGAAAGTCCCCTAAACGTCGATAGAGATGCCCTTGCAAATCATTTGAGACGTCTCCTTTCATGCGGTGGCCAATGGTCAAGTAAAAAGACCGGCCAACGGTGGACGCTGAATGCCTAGTTGTTTGGCTCTTAGTGGCACCTGTGGTGTTGTTGGCCGGATTCAGGTCCATTTGGTAAGGGCTGACCATAGTGCATAGAGAGTTCATCGCCCAGAGGACGAAAAGCAAGAGAGTTGGCCAGGACATGCTTATTCTGTTTGGCATCCGTAGCACAAATGAAATAAAGCTGGACAGAGATTCTGGGTTGAATTTTTGATGGTCTGATTTTCGGGGTGGGGTAGGGGTGATAAAAAAGAAAAGAAATCTATTTGTCTTTCATGAAAGGGGTGGGGGGTAGATAAATAGGGCGAGAGAAAGAGGTGAAGAGGGAGGAAGAAAATGACTGGTGAAAATGAGAAAGTGAGTCAAGTAAGAATAGGTGCTTTTAGAGACGTAGATGATGAGAGACAGAGTGAGTGAGAGAGCGGGGTAGGAAAATTTGGAAAGAGAAAAATTGCTTATTAGAAAGGGGGAAACGAGGGAGAGAGAAAGGGAAAGAGAGGGTAGTAAAAGAAAAACGTGGAAAGATAGGCAGAAAGAGAAGGTGGTAGGATAAGAGAGAGAAAAAAGAAAAGGCAGAAAAGAAAATAGAAAACGGTGAGAAAAGAAGGTAACAAAAAGAAGAGAGTAAAAACACAGAGAGAAAGACAATGAGGAGCAAAGAGAAAAAAATAAAGGAAGAAAGAAAAAGAATGGCAGAAAGACAGAAAGGGATATGGACAAAAAGAAAAAGACAGTGGGAATGAGGAACAATATGAGGAAAATAGTGGGAAAAAGATAGAAAAAGAAAAAAATTAAAAGAGGGAGAGAGAGAGAGAGAGAGAGAGAGAAAGAAAGAAAGAAAGAAAGAAAGAAAGAAAGAAAGAAAGAAAGAGAAAGAGATAAAGAAATATAAATGAGTAATCGGCGGTGGGGAATCAGGCGCAAGACCCAGACGAAAACAGTGCGAAAAAATTGAGCGAAAAAAAGGGAAGGAAAGAAGGTGTAATGTATTGTTATTTCCTTGTTAAGTCCCACAAAAGTATTCGAAAAGTTGGTATTATGATTAATGTTCATGATAATGATAATGGTGTGGCTTGGATAGGAGTATGTAAGGACAAGGTGGTGGTGGGGGGTTTCATTTTTCTTTGGCGAAACAGGTTGGAATACTGGGCGTGGTTTTCAATGGTGAAGAAGGAAAAACAAAATGCTTGGTGTGTAACAAAGAAAGAAAGATAAATAAGATAAAAGATAAAGAGTGGGGAAAAGATGAATGAAACGTTAAGCACTTAAGTGAGAGAGAGAGAAAGAGAGAGAGAGAGAGAGAGAGAGAGAGAGAGAACCTGTTGGCATTTTATATAGTAGGTAAATACAGAAAGAGAATTAAAATAACCATGGTTGGATAGGAAGGGTAATCTATTGGGAACTGCGCAAATCATACTGACAGGCGTTCCGTATATACAGGATATGTGATATATTTAATAACTTTGTGCAGTGTACTTTTTGGCTTTCTCAGAGATATGTGGAGTAATGGTTAACGAGGCTAATCGGGTTGATTATTAGTAGCAAGTTCGATCTGTACTGGATACTATCATAAAAAAATTCAGTATTAAATAGTCCAACAGTACTTGGTCTCTTATAAAATTAATTAGACTTTTGTATAGTGTCTTGTATTAATGCTATAGAAATTAAATGGGTTTTTAAAAATTTAAGCAATATGTTTGCGTTACTAATATTTATAGTTTACAAGTCATGCAGTATTATTTTATTTCATCTTACATGGCTATATGCAAAAAAGTTGTATTTAAATTTAAATAGCGTGTCCTGTATTTCTATGTGAAAAACAGATACGGATTTACCTAGCATCAAAAGTAGCAAAGGCTACCCGCTTCGCATTGCATACTTCCAAGTTGTATGTTGAAATCGCTATCTGATAATCTGGCAATGTTAATGTTTACATGCTTGAGGGGCTGTATCTTTAATTATTCATAATGTCAGGTAACATTATATCATGACTGTTAAATCTACTCAGGTATTCTATTAGAATTATTTGCCCCAGTATCTGTCTATATTTCTGAGATGAGATATTATGTACATTATTCGGACTATTGTCCTCATCTTTGTCGCCATATTCATTACAACGTTTCGGCAGTTGTACGCTCCGGCCTTCTTCAGGTGGTTGGAATGTCGAACTGAACCCTTTATTTCGCTTACTGGGGTAGACTGTTCTAGTTCCACGTGCCATGTTTAATGGATGTCAGTTATCAGTTATCTCCTGTTAATTTCCATCTGAAAGTTCTCCACTGCCTTAACCGGGTATTGAACTCATACTTTTTGGGTCCTAACGCCTCTATCAACTGTGCCATGTGTCCTTGAGGACAGAAAACGTTATAATAAATATGGCGACAAAGATGAGGACAATAGTCCGAATAATGTAAATAGTGTACATAATACCTCATCTCAGAAATATAGACAGATATTGAAAGGCCGAAACGTTGTAATAAATATGGCGACAAAGATGAGGACAATAGTCTGAATAATGTAAATAATTATTTCCCTATTTTACTTTTTTACTATGTTTTATAAGCTTTATAACTATGCTAGTAAATAATTTATTTTTAAATATTTATATGTATTTAAAAAAAATAGCACCTCTTTATAACATATGCTACAGGCCTCGCACTAGCTTAAACAGGCCTTGATGGCAGATCTAACAAAAATATATGCAAAAAGAAAAAAGAAATTACTGAGGTTATTTAAATACTCTCCCACGATGGAAGGTTTGTCACAAGGTCATAATTAATATGGTGTCCAACATGCATACATGTAACTAGGAAATTGTCTTTAGTTATCTAAGTGTCTTACATTATACACGGTTGGGCGATCATGTCTCTTTCGATTCATGACTGACAAGGTAGAAGATTTTGCCTCCCCACAATGCGTTGTCGTTTCTTTCTGTTGTAGACTGGTGGCCAACCAAGGCTATAGAACCAAGCCTTTCCTGCTATTCAATTATTCATAGTTGGGAGGAGGGGGGGAGAAAATATGGATTTATATCTTTCAAACAAGGAAAGTGAATATAACGAAACCGACTGGAGTTCGAACTTGGCTCTCCGAGTTCTCGTTCTGAGCCGATATCCATTACACCACAACGTACATCTCCAGTTCTCTTGGTACTTCCATTTTTGGGACGCTTCAGTAATCAAGGATGGACCCTCACGCTCCCCTTTTAAATGCAATGGAGAATGTCGTTTAGGAGTATAACTCCTCCGTAGCTTGTGCTTCGATTAATTTTCGCCTCAGGTCCCGTAAAGTTTATTAAAAATAATTTAAAAAAAAATAGAAGCTGTCACAGGGAATAAAAAAGTTAAATTCTCCGAGACCTTGAAATTCAAACGGATAGCTCATTCTAGGCCAGATAACCAGATCTAGTTATTAGAGAGAAAGAAAAGAAGACATGTCAGATCTTGGGTTTAGCGGTTTCAGCAAATCGATTAACTGTGAGCAATCAAAAAACTGGGAAAATATTAAAATTTTTCGAGGGAACGAAATAAAAAAGGGAGAATCGTGGAACATCAAACGTGACAATTGTACGTATTGTTGTTGATGGACTTGAAACTGTGTTTAATCAGAATGCTGAAGTAATAGCGGACTTGCTATCACTTAATCTTCAACGAAAGCCATCATTTATTAGTAATATGAAAGCTCCATGAATCATAATAAAAATAAGTAGAAAAATTAGATGCTGTTGGATGTGTTGACGCATACACAGGACAAAGAGGAAATTGTCAACTATTAATAAAATGTAAAGCGCATATTGATTAACCTAATGGGCAAATATCCACTAAACGGCAATGTTGTTTTAAGCGGGAAAAGTGTTATGCATTAAAAGCCAAACAGTAACAACAATACGGACCGAATTTCTCCTCTTCCAGGTTCTATTCAATATGATCTTGATTTAACGTGTTTGCCCATACGTTATTTTTTTTAAATTTTTTTCTCAAGAAGAAGTTTTAACGCATTAAAATCGGATGGGATTAGGGTAGCCATTTATTTATGGGTTTGTCATTATTATTATTATTATTATTATTATTTCATGTATTTGCATGTTTATACCGAATGTCTTGTTGATTATTACATTTTTGTTTTATTGAAGCCTCATCTGGTGTTTTTCACTGTTAATCCTTGACGGGTTTATGTGATTTAGTTTCATTATCCTTTGCTTGATTGATATTAACTTTGAAAAAAATAAAAATAAATGGACTTTATGAAATTGACATCACGGTGGACGTAAACACGCATACAATCACAGACATACATAGATTTTATAACATGTAGTTAGACACACACTCACACGAGCAATCATCATTCTTCGCGCTGGCATTTATCCTTTATTTAATCAAATCCCTGGTCATTTATCACCAAGGAATCACGAGGTGGATCTTTCGAACCTGTTAAATAGAAACGTTGAAAAGTGCGTTTAAATGACAAAACAGGGTTGAATAATTATCTTTCTGTATATAATCCATCTCATTCCAAAAGCTGAAAAACAGAAAATTCCGTGCTAGATATCCATTCACTGTTATATTACAGTGAATGGTGGACAATCTCACCAGAAACGAAGAGAAAACTGGGGGTAACAGAAATTGAGTCCTACAGAAGGATACTGAGAATTCCACGGACGGAGCAACATAGCAACGAGGAAAATGGCAACAAAATGGACACTTATACTCAGGATCGGGTAGAGACAGATGAAATTCCTTGGACACATAATGGGGAAAGAAAATTCGTAAAACGTAAACCTCACAGGGCGTACTGAGGCCAAGAGAGATAGGGAAAGTCAGCGAGACACCTACCTGACGAGTTTGTGTGAATGGACGGGGGAACGGGAGCGAGAGACTTAGCAAAGGGAGAAAAGCAGCTAAGGACCACAAGAGATAGGAAGTTGTAGAGAGCCACGATCGTCCAGGTCCTGAGGGGATGCTGCACAGAGAAGAAGATACTTAAATACATTTAAATGTCAGCATTTTTCAAAATCAGAAAGACATTTTAATAACGGAACAGAATAATCAAAATAATTCTTTCTCTATCTACGTTTCGCCTCTTCTCTAGATAAGGTTTCTTGCCTTCGAACCTGTTCAGACTAAACTTAAAATCATTTAAATGACAATATTTCTGTCTATTAGAAGGCCTTTTAATAAAGAGAGAGAATTAAATAAATATAAAATTTCTACATAAACTGCAGGAAACGGAAGATTTTTAACGGGTAAAAACAGATTTTCAAAAATCAACGTGTGTTAAGATACAATATTATCCCCAATCTAAATAAATTGCATTCACTTACGCGTAAATATCATTCAGAAAAATATGAAACTATTCTCATGCTTTGGGTTAAACAGGACTTGTATCTGGAAAAATCATTTTCTCAAAACATACAAATGTAATATTCACGGAGTGATGATGTACTACAACAAAAGAAAAACAGCAAAGCTTGAAAACTCAAGAAAGGAACATGGACAGAATTTTAAAGTTAACACTAAAATAAAATTCAAGTGTAATATTTATCAGTAAAGTCTTTCTAAATCAGCAGTTGTCAACCCCAAAAGGTTGAGAACTGCTGATTTAGAAAGAAAGACCCAATGAAACTTTTACACCATAAGTCCATATGTCATATCCCACCACCTTTCCAAGATTGTCCGACCCAAAACGTACATTTCATATGCATATATTATTGAAAATCTTTATTCATTTCCCTATTAGTACATATATATTTGCATGGATTATTTTTTATAGATTTGGTTGGTTGATTTTGTTTAGCGGCATATCAACCTCTAGGGGTTATTTAATGCCCAAGTCTAAATATTTTGTACGCAGTTTTATGGCTTCAACTAAATATATTTTGAACGCAATTATGTCTTCAACTACAGATATTTTACACCTAATTTTATACAGTGGGCTATGATACGTTTTTAGCCACCCTTAATTGTAGCAATTTTGGCTTGTGTAATAACGTATCTTCTTTTTTTTCAGACAATACCATATTAGTATCAAGATACTCTAATCTATGAACGATACTT